CAGGGGCGAGGGCCACATGCAATCCCTTCCCCTCCGTTCTCCTCTCAGGACCTTGGGCACGCACGCACACCTCGAGTGTTTTTCAGACCACACGGTCTGTGACTCGAACCAGGCAGTCAGCCACGTGGGAGCCAGCTCACGTGACCATCAGGCTCTGGCTGGCTTGAGATGCATTTCGTTAATGGAATGTATTCAGGAGTGAGCAGGTGGCATGGGGATTAAGCGACTGGAGCTCACATGGTCAAATCCACGGTTGGAGTCCTGGACCCACAGCTTGAAACACACACCAGGCGCATGTGAGTGCACGCCCAAAATCCTGAGAGGAGGATGGAGAAGGGATCATGGCGTGGCTGTCCCCCGAGGGCATGAGTTCCCACTTTCTCTGTCTCTCTCCTGTGAGTGTGCACGTGCCTTATGGCAAAACTACTAAATAAATAAAATAAAAAGTAAAAAAAAAAAAAAAAAAGTGTTGCGTTGCCAGCTGTTGGGGAGAGGTGAGGAGATGGCACGGCTTTGTTTTGTCATTTTTAAAAATTATTTACTTAACTTTACTTATTACTATTTTATAAAATTTACTATAAGGTACATGTACTCACCAGAGGGAGAGAAAGTGAGAAAGCAAGCTGCCAGATCCAGGACTCAAACTGTAGTCAGTCAGGTGGGAGTCCAGCACCTTCACCACCGCGCCACCTGCTGGCCCCAGCGTGGCTCTGAACCCAGATGTCCCAACCCGGCTTCTCCCACTCATCCTCCGCTGTATTTTGAATATCTGATGACGATGTATGTGAAAAGCGTTTGGGCTAATGCAACATTAGACGTAGTTCTCCTGGTTCCACAGCCCACACCTGGTGAGCCCGGTGCGCCATCCAGACCATGGCTTCTCCAGCAGTATTTCTTTAAAATTGAATTTATTTATTATTATTATTTAATTTGACCAGAGAGAGTCAGAGAGAGAGAAGGAGAGTGAGAAAGCAAGCCGCCAGGTCCAGGACTTGAACCACAGTCGGCCATGTGGGAGTCTAGCATCTTAACCACCACGCCACCTGCCGGCCCCCTCCAGCAGTATTTAATGTCCACACCCAGGGGCTCCAATTCAGGACATCGGAGATGGGGCCTAAGAGTCTGCATTTCTTTTTCTTTTCTTTTTCTAATTTTCCAAGTTTCTTTCATGAAAGAGTGAGAAAGACTGAGCACCTTCCACAGGGCCTGCAGGGAGAGTACCCCCTCCCAACCTTCTAGTCAGTCCGGATCCCGGCCCTGGTGCTGGTGAGTACTGGTCAACCGGGGACCAAACCCTGGGTGTCCCCTAACACCCAGCACCGTTACCACTGCCAGCCAAGCTCCCTGGTAGGGTTTTAGATAGTACTACAGGAGCCCAGACCAGCAGTTAGCATAATGGCTATGTCACTGAACTCCCATGTAGTTGACCACAGTTTGAGTCCTGGACCCGGTGGCTTAAACTCACACAAGGCGCGTGTGCATGCATGCCCAAGATCCTGAGAGGAGAATGGAGGAGAAGGGATTGCGGTGTGGCCATCCCCCCTGGGGGGGTGATTTCTCGCTCTCTGTCTCTCTATCTCTCTCTGTCTTTCTGGTGAGCACACGCGCACTATTGCAAAAACCTCTCCAAAAATAAAAAATTTTAAAAAATAGAGAGCACTACGTAACCAATGAGGTCTTTCTTCCCCTGGAGCCTGACCCTTTGCCGTCAGCTGCCAGCCGAGTGAGCACAGGGGCCCCTTGGTTTCTGGTGCATGTCTCCCAGGCTGAGGAGGCTCCCAGGGAGTGTCCATCGCCGGCGGGGTCGGGAGCAGCGCGGAGCCTGCTAGGAGGGTCAGCTGGGCCCCAGCGCTGACCACTGACCACCCCGCCCTCTGCCCAGGTGCCTGCAGAACTACATCCCCGCCCACAGCCTCACGCTGTCCTGCCCCGTGTGCCGCCAGACCTCCATCCTGCCCGAGAAAGGGGTGGCCGCGCTGCAGAACAACTTCTTCATCACCAACCTGATGGACGTGCTGCAGCGGACGCCTGGCAGCAACGTCGAGGAGTCGTCCATCCTGGAGACGGTCACCGCCGTGGCCGCGGGGAAGCCGCTCTCCTGCCCCAACCACGATGGCAACGTGAGTGGCACTGGGGGCGCGGTGGGGGGGACAGGCACAGCTGGGGCCGACCTGAGCTTGGGTGGGCCCTGCAGGCCCCAGAGGTGAGGCATGAAAGTCGAACTCCCCCTGCAGACTGAGTAAGGGGAAAGGATGTTGACCAGCCATAGACCTTTTGTTTCTTTTCTTTTCTTTTCTTTTTTAGATTTTTCTTTTTCCATAGAAAGAGAGAGACCAAGAGAGGGGAAAACACCCTCGCCCTTGGGGGGATGGCCATGCAGCAGTCCATTCTCCTCTCGGAGTTTAGACATGCACACACGTGCGGGAGTGATTTTTCAGTCCATGGGTCCGGAACTCAAAGCTTTGGTGGGATCCAGCCGCCTTGACCTCCAGGCCACCTGCTTACTTTCTCTGAGCACAATGATTTCAGTGATAAAATTAATCGGGACCAGGAGATGGTGTAATGGTTATGCTGCTGGGCTCCCACAGAGTCGACCGTGGTTCAAGGACCGCAGCTTAAAACTCATGCCAGGCACGTGGGCAGGCCTGCTCCAAATCCGGAGAGGAGAATGGAGGAGAAGGGATTCCATCGTGGCTATCTCTTCCCCCCAGAGGGGAGTGATTTCTCGCTTTCTGTTTTTCTCTCTATCTCTCTGGTGAGTGCACGCGCCCTATAGCAAAAAATCTCTCTTAAAAATAAATAAATAAAAGTGAAATTAATCTTTATTTTGTCTGCTGAGCTCATACTGTTGAGATTCCCAGGGAGCAAACCTGTGGCTATTTGCAAGCTGAGCATTCTTTGACCCACATAAACATCTGTGCAAGAAATTATGGATGAAGATTTCATCGTGAATAAGTTCTGCCTGTTGAGAATGAGTATAAAGATGTTAATTAGATTTCCTTATTTCCTTATTTTAATAACATTTTAAAATAAATAAAAATGTATTTATTTTGAATAAGTTCATTTACATTTTTTATTTATTTTTATTTATTTGGAGAGATAAAATGTTCAAGTCATATAAAACAAGCTCCAGACATGTTAGCTATTAAAATGATCTCCAGGGCCAGCAGGTGGCATGAAGACTAAGGCACTGGATCCCACATGGCCGACTTTGTGGTTCAAGTCCCAGACCTGGTGGCTTGGAAACCATGCTGGGCACATGTGCGTGCATGCATGCCCAAAATCTCAAGAAGAGAATGGAAGAGGAAGGACTGTGGCAAGCCCATCTCCCCGGGGGCAATTTCTCAAAAAATAAAAATAAAAATAAATAAATAAATAAAATTACGGGCCAGCAGGTGTCATAGTAGCTAAGGGTGCTGGACTTGGGCCAACCGTCGTGCATGTCCCAGACCTAGCAGCTTGCTTTCTCATTTTCTCTCTCTCGTTGTACTCTTGTCAAATTAAAAAGTAATTAAATAAAGTAAAATAAAATAATTCTTTAAAAAAAATAGATAAAATTATTTCCCATTAATATTATTCACTCTTTTCTTTACATACTGGCCACTTCAAAAGTGTTTGGGGACCAGCAAATGGGGTAGTGGTTACCTCGCTGGATTCTCACATGGGCCAATGCAGTTCAAGCCCAGACCCCGGTGGCTTCAAACTCATACCAGGCATGTGTGCATGCATACCCAGAATCCCGAGAAGAGACTAGAGGAGAAGGGATTGTGGTCTGGCCACCCCCCTGGAGGGGTGAGTTCTCAGTTTCTATCTCTGTCTCTCCAACAAGTGCATGCACCCTATAGCAAAAATCTCTCAAAAAAAAAAAAAAAAAAGAGAGAGAGAGAGAGAGAGAGAGAGAGAGAAGGAGCTGGCAGGTGGTGTGGTTGAGGTGCTCGACTCCCACATGACCAACCACAGTTCAAGTCCTGGACCTGGTGGCTTGCTTGCTCCCTCTGCCTTTCTCTCTCTCTCTCTCTCTGTCTCTGTCTCCCTGTCTGTCTCTGGTCAAATTGAAGAATAATAAAAATAAATTAACTTTAAAAAAAAGAAAAAGTGTTTGAAACCGGGTATAATCAAAGGCCCAGGTATAATAAAAGCACTAAGGCAGGCTGGCCCTGTAACCTGGTAGTTAAGGTTTAATAAGATGATTTTTAGGGACCAGCAGATGGCGTAATGGTTATGTTGCTGGCTCCCATGTAGTCAACCACAGTTCGAGTCCTGGACCCTGCAGCTTAAAAGTCACAACAAGCACATGTGTGTGTGTGTCCAAGATCTCAAGAAGAGAATGGAGAAGAAAGGATTACAGCATAGCCATCTCCCCAGAGGATAACTTCTCGCTTTCTCTTTCTCTGTCTCTCTGGCGAGTACACGTGCCCTGTAACAAAAAATCTCTCCAAAAAAAAAAAAAAAGTTTTT